GGGACACGGCCATCAGTTAGCAAGAGAGAGACTGAGAGAGGGAGAGAGAGAGAGAGAGAGAGAGAGAGACAGATTGAGCCAGTTACAGAGAGAGAGAGAGAGAGAGAGAGAGAGAGAGAGAGAGAGAGAGAGAGAGAGACAGAGAGAGAAAGAGAGGGAGGAAGAATGAGAGGTATAAAGAGAGAAAGAAAAAGAGAGAGATAGAGGGGAGAATGAGAGATAGAAAGAGAGAAAGAAAAAGAGAGAGAGAGAGAGACAGACAGCTAAAGACAGACTGAGAGAGATGGAGAGAGAGAACGAGAGAGAGGGAGGGGAGAATGAGAGATGTAAAGAGAGGGGAGAGAATGAGAGATCTAAAGAGAGAGAGAGAGAGAGAGAGAGAGAGATAACGAAAGACAGACTGAGAAAGATGGAAAGAGGAAGAAAGAAAGAAAGAGAGAAAGAAAAAGAGAGAGAGAGAGAGAGATAAAGACAGAGAAAGATAGAAAGGGAGAGAGAGAGATAGACTGAGAGAGAGAGAGAGTTTGAGAGAGAGAGAGAGTTAGACTGAGAGAAAGAGAAAGAGAAAGAGAGTTAGACTGAGAGAGGGAGAGAGAGAGAGAGAGAGAGAGAGTTTGAGAGAGAGAGAGAGTTAGACTGAGAGAAAGAGAAAGAGAAAGAGAGTTAGACTGAGAGAGGGAGAGAGAGAGAGAGAGAGAGAGAGAGAGAGAGAGAGAGAGAGAGAGATGCTTTATTAAGGAGAAAACAACTTGTGATTTTAGGTCTCATGACTGTGATGCTCAAAACTCGTGACAGTGATCTTCATCTCTCCTCCTCTGCCTGAGTGTGAGAGAGTGCAGCGTGTGTATTTATCCGCTTGTCGGGTTGTGTGATGATGAAAACATGAACATTCAGTGGCTGCTGGGAGATTATTCTGCATCTTCACAATGAAAAATGCTTTATTCCTTCAAAAACTGCAGCTTTTACTGAAGTAAAACAGACCAAAGCTGATGTTTTGGCAGAATTAAAGTCATTCAGAGTGGTTTGGTGTGAAACGCTCTGCTCTAGAGAAACTTACAGACTCAGAACTGTTCACAGTGGTGGTGATAGGAACCAGACGTCCACCTCTAAAAGCTCCCTCACAGAAACTTATTACATAAAATGGTTATGAATTCATCGCCTGATGACTGAGACACTGCTTTATGATAGTTTTGAGATGATTTTGGCCTAAAATGTATTAAAATCCTTTCATGGTGGAGGGATACATGCAGGGTGTTCTAAGGCAAAACAGTCCCCAAAGAAAACATATTTTATATATATTTTTTTCAGATTTGTCGCTGTTTAACCATCATCAACATTACCCACAAAACTCACAAGACTCGTGTAGGTTCGCTGGTGATTTTGGACAGTAAATAAAATGTCTATATTTGTGTTGTAGACATTGTGACGTCTGGTTCCTATCACCACCACTGTAAAGACATCTGAGTCTGTAAGTTTCACTACAAATGAACCATTTCACACCAAACCACTCTGAATGACACTGTTTACACCTCAGAGACTGAATTTATTAATTTTTTTCTTTTACATCCTGAAATATATTGTACATTTTCTTGTCAAATCTCCTGAAAGCCTCCTGTAAATAAAGATGAAGTGAGCTCACTCACACAGATTCATTATCACTCTGACTGTCGTCATCGCTACCTGCGACGGCTCTGCCTCGTTATGGCTGTGAACGTCTCCCGCACGCTGGGAAACAGGCGTCAGCGTCACCCTGGATATAAATCACCAACGTCAGCGATGAGCTCCAGTCATCACTCAGAGCTGAGCTCGCGTACGACAGGAGCTTCTCTCTCTGCAGCCAGCGGATCAGAACACCCACCAGCTGGACTCACCTGTGCGGGAGCAGATGGTGCGGGACATAGAGAAACAGGCGGCGCCTCGTACGCCTGACGGCTCCTGAAGGGCTTCATCATTACGCTCAGGCCATTAAGGGGGACTTTCACAGAGACCTGTCAGTCAGCCAAACAACATCCAAATCAACTCTGACCAATCAGAGAGGAGATAACGGACAGCCCTGCTGGACAGCCCTACTGCTACTGTGGAACTGTTACAATTAAATATCATTATATTTTCAGATACTTGTGGATCTACAGTGTGTGTGTTTCTAATACTCTGTAAATGTATATTAGGGTTTCACTGTGTCAGGTTAATCAGCTAGCATTAATAAAGATAATCATTTGGAATTGATTAAGTCAATAAGTTTGCATTAATAAGGTGAATAAGTTTGTATTAATACAGTCAATAAATTTGCAAGTTTGCGTTAATAAAGTTAACTTTGCTTTATTAAGTCAATACATTTTCAGCAATACAATCAATAAATTTCCATTAAAACAGTGAACAAGTTTGCATTAACAAAGTTAACTTTGCTTTATTAATCAAGAAATTTGCATTAATGCGGTTAATAGGTTTGAATTAATACAGTGAACAAGTTTGCATTAATTAAGTTAACTTTGCTTTATTAAGGCAATATATTTGCATTAATACAGTTTTATACGTTTGCATTAAAAAAAAGTTTTTAAAAAATCTGCATTACTAATAAGTTTGATTTAATAAAACTTAAAAAAAAGTTTGAATTAATAAAGTTAATACATTATTAAAGTTTACTTTGCTTTATTAAGAGAATATATCTGCTTTAATACAGTCAATAAATTTGCATTAAAATAGTTAATGTTTGCATTAACAAAGTTACCTTTGCTTTATTAATCAAGAAATGTGTATTAATACAGTTAGTAGGTTTGCATTAATACAGTTTTATAAGTTTGCATTGCTGATAAGTTTGAATTAACAAAACTTAATCTAATCTTGCATTAATAAAGTGAATAAGTTTGAATTAATGTTAAAGTTATAAAGTAAACATTAATAAAACTTGGTTTAAGTTTTCATCAGTAAAGTTAATAATGTTGCATTAATGACGTTTGTATTGATAAAGTGCTGTGAGAAAGTCTCTGAGAGCTGAAAACCTTCTGTGATCGGACTGTTTCGGTCTTTTCTTTTTCCTTATATTTACACCATAGAGAATCTGATCCTGCGCTCGTTAAATAAGGCTCATTAAATAAACGGGAGTTTCTCACTGCTGGTGTTGCTGTACATTTACCTTATAATTACAATACGCTGAGAGGACCTGAGGGCAGCATTACACAGCACTGTGAACGTTAACCAGTCAGAGAGCACAACACTTACTGTTTATTTTATATTTATGTATTTTAAATGTTCGTTCAAAACACAAAGCACCGGTGCTGAAGTCCGAGACCTTCTACTGATTTAATCTCTAGTAAAAACAGCCATTAAGTACAGGATATTCATTTAGCAGCATCAAGAAAAAGCAGCAAACATGTTTCTAACATCTAAAGCTACACAGACGTCTCAGCTAATAAACATAGCTTTACATTTTTCAGTATTTCTTTTTTTTATTTTTCCACTCTTTATCTTTATTCCAGTTTCCATTCTTTTCAGGAGACTCACTTTCAGTTAGAAGTTGGTTTTACTGTAAACTAAGTGTCCCTTATCCCACATGCATCCCACTCAGATCTCCAGTTAAGCTGATGAAGAAGGTTCAAGCTGTCAGTAGCCACATTTACACGCAGTCTAATAGTAATATCCTTTAATAATCAGATTGATAGTGATAGGATTGATTGATAGAATACGTCCATGTAAACACCTCAGTCAGAATAGTCAGATTGAGGCCATTCAGAATACAGTTTCCATCCGACTGAACGAGGTGGGTAATCCTGTAAATAATCCGTTAAATAGAAGAATAATAACCGTGTAAACACCTGTATCTGATTACATTCCCAATCGGAGAGTTTAAGTACGTTCTGATCATGTGCATAACGTCATAGTGAAAGTTTATAACGTTCAACATGGCGGAGCAGAAACTGGTCTGCAGTGGAGACGAAGACTGAGAGACTGTTTTGTGATAATGTGTAATAGGTTTTGGTCTAAAACTTAGTTTAATCATTTGATTTTTTATCCATTCAGGGTGGAGAGGTACATGAAGAGTGTTTTAGCGTAAAATAGACCCCAAAGAAAACTCATTTTTTCAGATTTTCAACATTCCACATAAACACACGTGCAGGTTCACTGGTGGTTTTGGGCAGTAAATAAAATGTCTATATTTGTGTTGTAGTCATTGTGATGTCTGGTTCCTATCACCACCACTGTAAAGAAATCAGATTCTGTAAGTTTCTCTACAGTGAACCATTTCACACCAAACCACTCTGAATGACTGTTTACATCTCAGCAATTGAATTATGGAGGAATTTTGAAAAATTGGTGGGATTCTCCTTTAACTTTTGCAGTAGTGGAACAGATCTTTGTACAGATTTTTTTTCATTCCTGGAGGACCTGTTTGTTTTTTTTTTTGTTTTTACTTTTCTTTTTGTTTTTGTTTGCTTGTTTCTAATGGCCTGTTTTTTCTCCTTTCTTTTAATTTTAATTTTTTGTTACTGTTGTTTTCGTCTTTGTTTACTTATTTTCTGAGAGGTCAAAACCATCCACGTTACGACTCTCAACTTTGAAGGGCAACAACAAAAGTCAAAGGATAAATAAATAAATAAATAAATAAATAAATAAATAAAAACCCAAACAAACTCGCCAAGCACTCAGGAAGATTAAAAAAGCGCGAGAGGCGAGAGCTGAATGATAACCATGGCAACAGCAGCAGCAGCAGCAGCAGCAGCCGTTATTTTTTAAATTATTTCCTTTCTCTACCTGTTTTCAGACGAGACCCGCCTTTCGTGTGCTGCTATTGGCTAATAGTGTCTCGCCCTCTGCGCTTGCCCCGCCCTCCCTGTGCTATGATTCGCCAGTGCTTTCTACACACAAGCCGTCCGCCAATCAGTGAATGGCTTGAGGAACGATCAACGAGCCAATCCTAGCGCACAAGGGGCGGGACGTTTGCGAATACGGGTGGGTTAAACCACAAAAAAATAACGGCTGTTTTAGTGAGAGAAGTGGCCGTAGTGGCAGCAGCTCGCCGCTTTCTCTCGCCTTATTACCCCCCCAGCAGCCGGCACCCTGAGCGTAAATGACAACAGGAGAAGGGCTAGAAGACGTCGTCGTGTCGGGTAAGATGGTAAAATGGTCATTTCATTTTTAATCCTCTTTGTTCACCGTCGAAACGGCGAAATGTAACGTTAGCCGCTCCGTCCAGTCCCACAGGCGCAGTGCCACAGTGCTGCTGTATGAACACCTAGCTACAGTGCTGAAATGACTCTCTCAGGGCTGGGTTTACACAAACTGCGCTGAATTAAAACACCCCCAGGGGTGGACCGACCCTCACCGGCTTCATCTGTGTCCGTCTGGACCCACATTAGTGGGTGTCAGTATTCAGTATTGGGATTTTGCCTGTGGTTGTTGTGAAACACCTAAGCTGGCTCATATCTGGTTTTGAGAGAAGTGGTGTCATTTGAAATGACTTAAAGGGGAACTCCACCGATTTTTCAAAAATTCTGCGGTATTCAGTGGTTGAGATGTAAACAAAGTCGTTGAGAGTGTTTGTTGGGTGTGAAATGGTCAGTTGTAGAGAAAATGTCTTTACAGTGGTGGCAGTAGGAACCAGGGATTGCAGTGTCTACAACACAAATATAGCCATTTGATTTACTATCCAAAACCACCACTGAACCTACACGTGTCTTCTGAGTGTTTATATGTCACGTTGATAATGGCAAAATAGTGGAAAATCTGAAAAAATAAGTTTTCCTTGCCTTAGGCAGTGAATTCATAATCATTTCATGTAATAACTTTCTGTGAAGGAGCTTTTAGAGGTGGACGTCTGGTTCCTATCACCACCACTGTGAACAATTCTGACTCAAGTTCTTCTAAAACGAAGCATTTCACACCAAACCACTCTGAATGACTTTGTTTACATCTTAACCATTAAATTATATATATATATTTTTTTGTTGAAAAATTGGTGGAGTTCCCCTTTAACTGATTCAAACAATGGTGTGGATGCTTGTTTGTCTTTTCTTTGCTTCAGTCAAGCAAGTCATGTTGCCCATTGTGTCCAGTGTCCATTGTGGCAGAGGGAGTGAATGACATTGCACACATCTCTGATATGACCATATGGGATGCGCATGCTGCCAGGGTGAAGGACAGGCCATCTGTCTCGCCCCGGCTTAATATCTTTCTGTTTTTCCAGCCTGCAGATACTCAGCCGATGATGAAACGATAAGAGTTATAAGTGTAGGTTAGTAATGGGACAAACATAATGCAGCCGGCGCTCCGGAGGAACTGTCATTTGTGCATTTTTTGGATAACTTTAGGGATTGGTGGCACCGTATGGTCATTGGGCCAGTGAGAGGAGGCAAATAGAAGTGACAAAAGAGATAAAACGTGATTGGGTACATTTTTTAATAACAATCTATAGTTATATTCCAGTCTGTTTTTGCTTTTCATTCTGGATCCACCAGTAAAACTGAGATATGTCATGAGTGCTCAACTCTCAGACAATGTACGATCATAATAATCATTTAAGAAAATAAATTATTTTCTGTTATATATCTATTTGAAGAGGAGGCTGTAGGTTTGTGAGGCCTCACCAAAGACAATTTCTTTTTATTTAATTGAATTGTCTCCGGTTCTCATGGATGAGCAGCTCATGTCCGAGTCCTGCCATCGCTGATTTTCCAGCTATTTTTACACCGTGTGGAGTGGGAGCACATTGAGATGTCTGAACTGCCTCAAACTGCAAGTGCAGTCAGAAACTCAGGCTTGCATAATGAAGGAGAAAGAAATCTGTTCTGGCCCACAGCTCTCAAAAAGGAAAAATCCATGTGGCTGAGCTGTGTTTGAATTTGTACACCAACCAGAGCCTGCATAAGAGATTCCGGCTTAACTGTTCACCTTGAATAAGTCAAACTGACCTCTTGTGGGAGAGGAAAGTTACTTTAATATGCATAGGCTACCAGAAAGCACGTCGTAGAACAACTGTATGGTTCTACTGTTGAATTCTGTAAGAAGATTTTACAATATTTAGATCTTAGAAGATGATTTTTGTCAACCTTTAAACTTTGTTTTATCCAAGAACAAAGTTTCATCGCAATGCGAATGGAAAATAAGTGACCATGCAAATCCTGTAGGTCCAAAATGAAGACACATCGTGTCATTAATGGAATCGACTACTTTAAGGTGCACACACTCACTCACTGCTGAAGGGTAAAATGTACTCGGAGTGCCTTATAATTTCCATAGAGAAGCCACAGAAAATGGATTGGAGTGATGAGGCCTCATTGACCTCTTTTGGGAATAGATTGAAAGATGAACCTCAAATGAAATCTTTTGAAAAGAGTTGGAGTCATGAATCTAGACGGATGGAGTGATGGAGCTCCATTGACCTCTTTTGGGGTGAGTTGGAGTGATGAAGCTTTATTGCACACCTTTAGAAAGAGTTGGAGTGAAGAAGCGCCATGGAACACCTTTAGGATAAGTTGGAGTGGTGAAGCTCTGTTTAACACTTTTGGCATGAGTTGGAAGTGATTACGCTCCATTGGACATCTTTGGGATGAGTTGAAGTGATTACGCTCCATTGGACATCTTTGGGATGAGCTGAAGTAAGTGATTACGCTCCATTGAACACCTTTGGGATGAGTTGAAGTGATTACACTCCATTGAACATCTTTGGGATGAGTTGAAGTGATTACACTCCATTGAACATCTTTGGGATGAGCTGAAGTAAGTGATTACGCTCCATTGAACACCTTTGGGATGAGTTGAAGTGATTACACTCCATTGAACATCTTTGTGATGAGTTGAAGTAAGTGATTACGCTCCATTGAACACCTTTGGGATGAGCTGAGATGATGAGGCTCTGTTGAACACTTTTGGGATGAATTGAAGTGATTACTCTTAATTATACACCTTTCGGATGAGTTGGAGGGATGAAGCTCCACTGAACACCTTTGGGATGAGTTGGAAGTGATTACGCTCCATTGAACATCTTTGGGATGAGTTGGATGGATGAAGCTCAGCTGAACACCTGTGGGATGAGTTGTGAGGATGAAGCTCCATTGAACACCTTTGGGATCAGTTGAGGTGATGAGGCTCTGTTGAACACTTTCGTGATGAATTGAAGTGATTACTCTTAATTGTACACCTTTCGGGCGAGTTGGAGGGATGAAGCTCCACTGAACACCTTTGGGATCAGTTGAAAGGATGAAGCTCTGCTGAACACCTTTGGGGTGAGTTGGACTGAAGAAACTCCGTTGAACACCTTTGAGGTGAGTTGGACTGAAGAAGCTCAGTTGAAAACCTTTGGGATCAGTTGAAAGGATGAAGCTCCATTGAACACCTGTGGGATCAGTCAAAAGGATGAAGCTCCATTGAACACCTTTGGGATCAGTTGAGAGGATGAAGCTTCATTGAATACCTTTGGGATCAGTCAAAAGGATGAAGCTCCACCGAACACCTTTGGGATCAGTTGAAAGGATGAAGCGCCATTGAACACTTTTGGGATCAGTTGAAAGGATGAAGCTCCGTTGAACACCTTTGGGATCAGTTGAGAGGATGAAGCTCCATTGAACACTTTTGGGATCAGTTGAAAGGATGAAGCTCCATTGAACACCTTTGGGATCAGTTGAGAGGATGAAGCTCCACTGAACACCTTTGGGATCAGTTGAAAGGATGAAGCTCCATTGAACACCTTTGGGATCAGTTGAGAGGATGAAGCTCCATTGAACACCTTTGGGATCAGTTGAGAGGATGAAGCTCCACTGAACACCTTTGGGATCAGTTGAGAGGATGAAGCTCCACTGAACACCTTTGGGATCAGTTGAGAGGATGAAGCTTCATTGAACAAATTGGGATGAGTCAGATAAATGAAGCTCCACTGCGGCATTTTTGATCCAGAACTAATTATTCCACATACTTAAGTACCAAAGGGGTGACAAATTCAATATTAATACATTTGAATTTAAACAGATCTTAAAAAAGAAGGTTCAGGGATATTTTTGCACGTTTAATTGAGTTAAGATGTCCCATTGGAAGGGTCTGAAATCTTTTCCCAGTGATGCTGCAGTCATCCTGCAGCTGGAGTTAACTGGAGTACGATTAGTCCTGCTGTCTGGATGGATAGCATGGCTTATTTTCTCTCTTTCACTGTCGATACACAACGAGGCTGGCGTGTGTGTCTGTTAGGTGATGTGTACAGAGTTGGACAGTCAGCACCTTCCTTCAAGCCTTTTCAGCTGCCCTTTGACACATTGCGTGAGTAGCAGTTTGAAGAGATGCACATGCTAGCCCTCACTCTCCATGGCTGGTGCGATAGGGGAGACCTACATAACAGGTTTGGCAAAGGACAAGTGACTAACACTGGGGAGAGATAAAGGAAGCATGCATGGGAGAAAGAGGCTCTCTCTGTCAGGTGGTTAGGCGGTTAGGCCGAAACCTGGCTATGATTAGGCTAAAACCTTTCTGTGGTTAGGCTCACTTCTGTCTGTAGTTATTTACCTTTGATTAAACCGAGACAAGTCTGTGGTTAGGCTAATGAGTGTCTGAGGCTTAGGCTAAAACCTTTCTGAGGTTAGTCTCATGCCTGTATGTGGTCAGGTTAAAGCATTTTTGTGGTCATCTTTTAGCTGTAAGGTGACCCTGTGGGTGTTTACGCAAAACGTGTCTGTGTTTACGCTAAAACCTGTCTGTGTTTGGGCTCATATCTGTGCGTAGTCTGAAAACCTGTTTGTTTAAACTAATTTTTTTTTTATTAGCCTAAATGCTAAAACCTGCTGTAGTATTAACTGAAACGAGCATGTGTGTAGGCTAAAACCTTCAGTGGTTAATCTCATATCTCTCCAGGGTTAAGCCAGAACCTGTATATGGTTAGTTTGAAACAATCTTAGGCCGGTTCAGTGAGCACAGTCGAAATGCATTATTTGTGGTATTTATTTGGCCGCTCAGGCGTGGAATAGAAATCTGACACTTGGTAATTTTGAATTACCATCCAGCATCATTTTAAAAACCATTTTATATCTTATTACCATTGTACTCTAAACCCTAACAGACATTACAAATAACTGAGACTAACTTAGTGTACAGAACTCCAGTATTCAAATGTCTGTAGTCGTAGCAG